TGTTATACAGATAGCGCAAAATGAAGATCTAAGCTAAAAGAGATCTAAAGGAAGATAACCCAATCAAAATTGTTACAGCTCATATCAAAAAATAATTATTTAACTTCAGTTAAGATATTTAGATATATATGCAAATATGATTTACAAAATTATTGCATTGATATTTAGAATTTTCACAGTATTTATATTCTGTATGCTATTATTAAAATCTAGCAATATATGATCAATTTAATTAAAATATTTCTATATAGAACTTTGAAAAGTTATAATTATAAAATATATATAACAATAAAGATATAGATATTATCTTTATTATTATACATATGTTCTATATAAATATATTGATTTATTATTATTTATTAAGTATAAATATCTTGATTTATCATTATTTATTGAGTACAAATATCTTAATTATTAATAATTTATAAACTTAATTATATGAATAATTATATATGGATATATATAATATAGATTAGTAACTATATATATAATATACACAGGCATATCTTTATACTTACTCAAATATTAAGAAACAAATTTGCAGACCAATTTTAATTAGGCTTGTGAGGTAAATAAAACTACTTGTATAATGCTTTAAAGTATAATGTTAGCTTAAAATTTTATTGAAATCATTATGATTATTAGATTTAATTCTTGATAATCACATTTAAATAAATTTAATATAATATTTATAATTATTTATGTATAGAAGAGTAAGATATAATTTTCTTGATAATCTTAATATTCATAAATCAGATAATGAATCTCTGACTAGATTTAAGTAAATTTTGAGTATCACTTGCTTAATAAAATAACTTGCAATAATTAGATATATATTTTTAATAATATATATAATTCAATTATTTTTTTTGATATTTAGTAAATTTCTTCTATAAGTAGTTATATATATTGTTATAATTATTTCATTAAAATCAGCAATTCCAGAAATCATGAAGAAAATTATCCTAACTGCAATATCACATATTTTTCAACTCTTTATTATTCAATATTATCTAGTATCACATTCATAACTGCATCTATATCCTTTTTTTTAGTATTCTTTAACACATGAGATCACATTATGCCTCCTATTTTTTTTATTTACTAGTACACATTATTGATACTATAAATTATAATATATTATCCAGCATATATTATTGATAATATATATTGCAATGATCTTCTAGTATATTTTAGTATAATCATTCACATTCTTCAATATAATAGATCATATCACTTCTTCTTTAGTTATCTTTTACTGTTGCTTGATCTATTAATATAATAAAGAAATTATATAGAATTAGAATAGTATCACTTCTAATATAGCAAAAAATAATAAAAATATATAAAATAATTATCTCTCAGATCTTTAGAAATACAGAAAAAAAAATAAAATAAAACTGTGTATATTATCTTTTCTTCAAGAGAAATACTGGTAAAAATTGCTTTATTAGAATTATAATTCTAATATGTTGATTAGATTCTTTCTACCAGAAAAGATGATATGTAGATTAGGTTCTTTCTATCAGAAAAGACAACATATTGATTAGGTTCTTTCCACCAGAAAAGATAATGAATTGATTAGATTTTTTAGTTCAGAAAAGGTGAAACATATTATTAATTGAATGATTTGATTAATCTGAGTTTAAGGCTTTTAGCTAGAAAAAGTACAGGAATAAAAAGAATAAATTAGTTAATAATTAATATACAAATTCTTCTTTACCCTGTCTCATAATTACCTTTGAAATGATTATATTAAATGATATCTGAAGATATTGGCACAGGATTTAGATTAACTGATAAAATTAGTTTAATTGCTCTCTTTCACTCATAGTCACAGTGCACAAATTTTCCCAAATCCATGAAACTTCAACCCACCTGTGATAATACATGTACATCAGATAAATGATTAATATTTTATCATTATTAAATAAAATTATGTTTTCATAATGCAAGAAAATTTTTTTCTCAATAAATTCCTGATCTAAAATGATATGTTAAGAATGTAAAAGAACAGTAAGATCAATATTTTAAATTTTCTGCAAATGTAAATGAGTGTAAATAATGAATGAATGATCTGGTCTTTTAGTAAAATTTGTCAAAAATTCACTATTTTATAAATTCACTAAATCCAAAGATTTTTATTATGAATGGGTTTGGAACTCAAATTCACTACATCCAGTATAACTGTATATATTTAAATCTGAATACAATATTTAAATTTTTCTTTTATCAAAGATAAATATAAAAAGGGATCAACATAACAAACCTATTATAAAGGCATCATATAGTATAAATGAGAGCGGGAAAAATTAATTTTAAACACTTGCTTGACACACTTTTATAATTACAGTGCTGTACACCTTCGTCAGAATTCAGCAAACCATGATCATAAGAGTGTTTATTACAGTAGTTTTAAGAAGTATATAGCAAACCTGAATATAACGAAGTATAACCAGGTTTTCATTATATTCAGGTAAAGATTATATTAAAAAATTTGGTACATCAAAACTTCATTAAAATGAAAACTCATTTTATTCAGGTTTCGTTATACCTAGGTTCACTGTATATTAAAATCTGAAGCAATAAGAGCTAAATCATGACAGCCTTCAAAACTTGGACCTTCACTTGGATAGCATGACATGCGCCCACTTTTTTACGTGTGCTTAGAATTCCATTAAACTACATAAACTTAACCACCTAATATATAAATTTAACTTGAATTTTTCTTGATTGACCAACAACTTGAGTTTACCCTTGTTTAAAAATTAACAGTTCTATTTGGTTTGACTTGGTCTTAAGTTGACAAGCATATACATGTACATGCAATAGCAGTAAATCCGAAGTTTATATTATAAAATCTGTTTGATCACGTGCAAAAATTCTATTGGCTTAATGCCAAGTCGTGGTTTCAAAATTAGATGTACATGTACATGTACAGTCAGACGAAATGCAATTTGTTCAGACAACTTTTTGACGCGCATTTAGAGATTAGAGCCAAAATATATATTTAATTATAGAACAGAACGTATACGAAAGACAGAAAAAATAACAAAAAGCGAAAAAACTAAAAGAAATGAATCTAGTTAAATTTTTGATATAAATGGTGAATCAAGAGCAGAACGAAATACATGACGAAATATAGCATGAATAAGAATAAAATGAGATAAGTAAATAAATATAATAAGGCTAGAATGCGACGAAAGAGCATAAATACGAAGTACATTATGAAAGAATAAAATAAATGAGAATTTATAACAAAAAAACATAGTAATATAATAATAAGTACATGAAGTTGTCGGGAGACTAAGTTCTTAGAAAATTCATAATTAGAAGATATTAAATAATTTCACAGATCGCCAAGTCGCAGTATTGCGCTATACATAATTACTGCGCCACGATCACTCCCACTTGCCAAGTATGTTCTTATAAAGAGGGAAACTTTATAATAAGCTTGTTTTTGAAAAATTGTGTTCTTAAAAGTAAATTTGTTCTTAAATATAGTGTTCTCATAAGTAATTTGCTCTTAAATAGAGTGTTCTTATAGAGAGGTACGATTGTATAATATGATCATGAGGATAAATGAATAACTGAAGCAAGAAACAAATTAACGAGAAATGAATCTTACTTTAAAAAATCAAATCTAATTGCCGTGTAACGTATGAGTCTAATATAAAAACGCATAAATTTCGATTAATTTCCATGAGCATTATAAAATATGTTTAATATGAAAAATAAAAATTACCAATAATTTTTGAAATCGATCTACTTTTAAATATTGCGCCTTTGTGCATCTCGGATTTCTTTTTTCTATTTCCTATACTTTCTTCGACTTTGTTTTGAACTGTGAGATAATCCCATTCTCTAATTGTATTAAAAATTTCATTCGCAGTTGGCCGTCTTGATGGATCCGAAGCCCAACAATAAATCATTAGCTTTTGATAATATTCCGGCATGTCATCAGGAATAGCTGGCCGAACTCCATCACAAATATCAAAGATGAGTTCGATATCATGACTACGACTACTAAACGGACGTTCTTCATTCCAAATTTCCCACATTATCATTCCAAAGGAGTAAATATCGCTGGCTGTAGTGTACCTTTTAGTTTGCAGTACCTCAGGCGCAACATATGGTATTATTCCAAACACTTCATCATCTATAATTTCAGTAGTTTTTCTACACCGCCCAAAATCTGTTATATATAATAAATTTAAACCGCATAAAATGTTACCACTATGTAAATCGCGATGAATGTATTGACGATCGTGTAAAGATTGTAATCCAATAGTTAAATCAAGTAAGTGATCACACAAATATCTATAAAAGATATTCCCCTTTTCAATTAGATTGTATAATGAACCGTCTTCATAGAAGCGAAGGACTAGAATATAGTTTTCCGTTTTTGGATCTCTAGAAATCCCAAATATTCTCGCCATATTACTAGAGTGGTTATTAATGACAGCAGATTGAATCTATATAAAATACATGAGCGTATTTAAATAATATAATTTAAACAAAATTTTAAATTCAATTGATCTAAGGTCAATATTCACTTACTTCTTGAATTGTATTACAATTTGCATTATTTGAGTTGAATAACATTTTTAGTGCAACAAGACTTGGCCCCGCTCGAACTAATTTTCTTTGAGTTTTATTGAAACTAATTACATAACCCGAATTCCAAATTGCTTTTGATACACTACCAAAACCTCCCTCAGCTATTAATTCAATCTTATCGAATTCTTCATATTCAACCCATTCGAAGAAACTTTCAAGTTGAGCTTCTTTAATAATTTCATCAATTTTTTTATTTTTGCTTGTCCATGGAAGGAGTTCCTTAAACCAGGTAATGTTATAAGAGTGACACCATGCAAAGTTAGTCCTGAAGTTTCCGTAATGAAATCATTTTTTATGATCAAAAATAAAAAGAAAAATTATAAAAACAAATTTAATAAATTAAAGAATATTGAGGCATAATTTAATATATACCGCATCTGTTTGCTGAGTTGCTTTTCTAACTTTTTCCCCATGGCGACCAATAATTGAGAATTTGGAACGCAGGACCCTATAAAATTTATTAATTTATAGTTCATAAGCATAAAATGCAATTCTACTCGTTTCTTCATTGCTTGCATGTGAATTTAATTGTTTGAATCTTTCGGAAGCTCTTATTGTATGATTGTCACAAGATAAGTGGGTTGAGGCATACTTTTAGCCCGTATTTTGAGATATGGATTAGATAATGGGTGTTAGGGCTAACAAAAATCCCATATCCCATTAATCTATGAAATGACATTTGTGATTGATGGAATATGGAATGGATTAAATATGGGCAACATTATAATAGAATATCGACCATTGGGACATTTCACATAATTCATTTGATTAAAGTAAGTGGTTTGGATGATTTAGCGAATGAATGAGTGAACTAATGTTAACCTGAGTTTGTCCAGAGGAAAAAGATCGACGATTTGAGTCAAGGAGAAATTTGATCGGAGGAAGAATTGTTTGCGATTGCATTTATATTTAAACAAGAATTTTAAGTGTATTTTGTATTTTTTTGAACATATAAGAGAAGAATGAACAAGTCTTCTACTCTATTTATGTTATTATCAATATATTGATTTGATGAAACAAGAAAATATCACACGCAACGCGAAAATCACAAAAAAGATTGCATCGTATAAATATATCAGGAGACCTAACCTAATTAGGAAATAATTGTCGCGAATACCATACTCGTCACCGCCGCCTTCGCCTAATTAAGAAATGATCAGTGTTGTTCGAAACTTGTAATGTGTAATACTTTTTTCGGAGAATTTCTGAACAAAAAAAGATCCCATGTGTCTTTTGCAACTCTATATTAAAAATCCAAATACCTCTACATCTCTATATTTAGAAAAAAGGTCGTACGTAATACTTTAAGAACCAGACAAATATTCGAGATTGGTATTAAACAGGACTAGCATTCACATTTTGGCGCAGCATTATTTTAATTATTATTGAACAATTTATCTTTTCGAATTTCTAAGCGAAATAAAGAACGCAATACAAATGACATCATGATGCATGACCGACGATTAATCTAGTAATATCTGGAAGTTTTATTTATGCGTATCAATACATTCATTGTGTTAAAAGAATTAGAGATCTAATACTTTGAGAAAATACTTAAAAGCCACCAGTATATATATTAATAAAATCTTTAACCAAAAAGTATTAATCTAACCTGAATTATATAATAGATATAAAAAATTATAAATTCCTTATTCATCAAAGAAAAAAGTATAAATATACAAAGTATTCGCGATTTGAAAGTTTCTTTTACGAACAAATATCTTATGATATATTACTTCAATTAACAATGATCATCATCATAATACTAATACTAAGCAGCGATAATAATATCACACAAGTGATCAACCAAATAATCATTTATATAATTTTACAACTATTCAGCAACAACAAATCTTTCCTACTTCGCCACTTCAACCAACAATTTCTTCATCTAATACACTTCGCCAATTTCTTCGCCACTTCAACCAACAATTTCTTCATCTAATACACATTTTAGTGAATAATCCAAATACAAACAGACCTTTCGTCCCATCTCCACCTTTATTCCCAATGAATACATCGGCTCTCGGTAGTCCAAATCATAGTTGTTCTTCGTGCAAGAAACGTAAAGTAAAATGTGGTCGTAAAACTCCTTCATGTTCTGCTTGTATAAAATCGAAGAATCGATGCCTTATTCACCCCGCAGCTTTTCTCAATCAATCTTCGCCATCTTCATTGTCTTCTCCGACATTCTCCCAATTACGAATTTGAAAATGAACAAATGTTAAGTCAGATTCAAAAACAATTACAATCATCATCATTACCAAATTACACACAATTGTTTATCAATTCATTTGCCCTGCAGCCTAAAAGTCAACAACAATCATCACAATTATCGTCATTGCAACAACACAATTCCCTTATTTATTAGCTGATGATGACGCCGTGTTCTCGCAAAACACATCTGAAAATTATCTTTCAACTCTGTATCAGAATTAATACCAAACACAGTACAGTCATCAGATAATAATACATCGATAATTAATGATAATAGTCATCAATAGCAATAGTGATAGTCATAACTTAAAAAGTCATGGGCCACATTCAAATAGCTATAGTCCATATTCATTACACAACATCATCGAAGTTTTCATCTGCAAATGATAACGACGACACCTTTAGTTTCAATAAAAGGTTTGTAACTTCGATCAATTTTGTAATTTACAAAAATAAAAAATATGATATAAAAATAAAAATGAACCAAATTTATATTATTCGTCGTGTGAGCTCATATTTTTTATTGTTTTTTTTCTTTACAAATAAAGTGTTTCCGCCATATCTACGGTTTCTTTTATCCTTCCCCTTTTTATAAATCCTAAATAATACAATAATATAGAATCGTCTTTCAATTCTTTTGCGGAATCGAATTTTTTGTTGCTTGCAAGAGGGCAAACATTACATTTAACTATAATCCACGTGCAGCCAAATCAATATTGGGACCTCGAATTGCTCCAATTTTGAATGCCATTACTACTATTCATTTGATACGTGATGTCAGTCAACCGAACGACAATATCATGCAAAATGAAAATTTGAACTTCCCGGTTGAGACTGGATTCAAACATTTACAACGTTTACAGCATTGGATACAAGATCGTTTCCAAAAAGTTGTGAATGAATTAAGTTCTGGGAATCTGAATAAAGAAATAACTGATGAGATTCTTAAAGTTGGGGTTGTAAAATTGGAAATACGACCAATTATGAAGGAAAAAGTCATCGAGAATGGAAATGAGCTAGTAGAATCAAATGCGTACTCGAAACTATTTGAGATGATATTTTATCGAAGACGACAAAAAGATAAAGACGATTTTCCAATAGATATCAAATCCGAGCCTATGATAAATGAAGGAAAAGACACATCCGTCAATAATAATGACAGTAACAATGATAATGAAAATAATAACGATAATAACAGCATACAAATTGAAACAGGAACCCGAAATGGCAAAAACCCAGGTCATGATATTGACTACAAAGCAAATACATTTCCATCAACGAATAACGATGCATATTTGGAAAAAATTTATGCTATTATGCGAATATTTGTTAGCGGAATTCCGTGGATAAGAGAAAATACCATGCTGGTTGATGCCAAAGAACCCCATGAAACCAAAATTGGTGTTACTTGTGGTGGTGGTGAATGGAGTGATGGGGTTTTTGAAAATGTTGTTGCAGAGATATTCGATGATCAGTTTGAGCAAGTTTGTAGGCGGGGAAGGCTATTTTTCTAAATAATCCTCGAAAATATTATATTCTTTAACAATGTGTAATCTAGTAAACTTTTTATGCATTGAGAATAATCATGCTCATTAATTATTTATTAATGTATTCATATTTAATTAAGTTTTAGGTTTAGGTATATAGACAATTTAACATATCAATATAAAGATTTAATGAGCTGACGTGTTTCAAACAAGCCTTTTGATTGATGCTGGTGATGACATTTAGCAAATAATAATATTTTTTGTTTAATATAATCGGGAAGCTATATCATTGAATAATTTACAAAACACTCATTAAATTCATTTTCACATGCTTTTTGCAAGTAACCATAACCTTTCTATCATATCATTCGGACTTAAATTCAGTATATCCTGGATAACGTGGTAATGTCAAACATACGTAGCTTGAAAGTTTAGCAGATAAGAATTAAATATGCCGCCGTATGGATCAATCTGTTGAAAATGTGCTTCTATATTTAGACGAAGACAAGAACATAATTTGTTTGAGCAAAAGCCTAATTATTTATTGGTAATCTAAATAATGAAAGTATGCTATTATCTCAATATACATACAATATTGTTTGGAATGTAAAAGAAAAGAATATCAACAAACAGCAATTCTGAAACGAATATGCAAATTTTTTTACAAAAATAATGCTAAAAACGATTGTGAGAAATAAATATCAAAGTCTTATGTTTACAGGCATATCTGAAAGAACGTATCATAATCGTCTTTTCAATCTTTCCCGAATTTATTTATCTAGCTATTGCTATTATAAGATTTATTTTAGTAAGAAAATAATCGTTTCTTTAAATCGTGGATCTTTTTCAAATCTCCGTCTTTTATCCAGCCAATTTGACAAAATCTGTGCCCTTTTGATCTATTTCTGCCCTGGTGCTAAGTCGAAAAAATTATATTTTGAACTTTCGGACTAAATACAGATAAAACGTTTATAGTTAATTAACCAAACCAAAAATAAAAGATTCAAACGCAGCGGCGATATAGAGCCACATAAGTCGTAGGAAGGATTTTTTATATAAACATCCCCTTATAGAAATCAACTTTATATATATCAATGAGGCAGATTGAATTGGAATCTGCATTATAAATTTATAAATGATGTAAAAGGGTCATTTATTAGATGGTTTTGGAGGGGATCTGATCTTATATGGTGCAATTAAAATGTTTGTATTTTATAAATTGTAATAACTTCTTAATTAAGAAGTTATAAATACAAACATTTTTAATCTAAGATGAATTGCAACCAAACTTGGAGAACGGTTAAGCGTAGTCCATCATGTGATCAATCCCTTAAATTTTCAGAGTTTACTATTAATGATTTTTATGATTTATAAGGTCTGGGTAAGGGTAACGGTTAGAGCAGAGAATAATATTATATGTAAAATTGCTGTTCCGACAATTTTAATTAGTATTCCAAAACAGATTTAGGCATTAGTTTTTGAGTAATATTTATTTTTCATATCTTGAGTCGGATTAGTTTGCCGGGTTGATCAAAAAATTTGCGCGCCCCTATTGGGGGGGAATACCTAATACCCTAGCCACGGCAAAAATAAAGTGTCGGATCATGTGATTTTTAAGGGGTAAACCAATCAAATCGCAAGATCAGGAAAAAAATTCAAAACAAATGCTTGTATCTCTATGAAATCACTTTTTTTTTCTAACAAAAAAATATTCCTTGCAAAATTTTGCTTTGTAATATTTATAGTGGTGCTTTATACAATTTAATCTTAATTATAATCAACAACTATCGATAACACAAGGTATATCGTTGTATCTTGCTAAACTAAATAGAACTTAATATCTAACTATTTGGTTTTATATATTATAATATTCGTAGTTTTTAAAGAATCTCCAGCCAAAGCAAACCAACTTTATGAACAACAGACCATAATGTGATGATAATAATAATGATAACGATAACGATAACGACGACAACGACGATAAGTAAATGACAATCTTTATAAATTTCGGTAAATAAAATCAATATATTTCAATTTCAAATTGCTTTAACTATAATGAAAAATAATAATAAAATCTTATAAATTTTCAAAAATATATAATCGGTCTTATTAAGAATCAAAAATATAATTGCACGTACTATCTTTATGAAAAACACTTACTATGAACTCGCAAGAACCAGAAATTAACGTAACAACTGATACCAATCTTAATGACGTGTTATTTTTTAATAACTTCGACTATATTCCTGACGACTATGATATGGAAGATATTGAAACTATAAGCTTGGCCACCGAAAGTCTTGCATCAGAGAGTACCATAACAGAAAGTATTGCAAACGATGCGTTGAATTTAACATAGAAATAAATCCCTTTCTTTTTGATAAGACCAGTTTTGAGAATGCGCGAAGCTGCTGATGATGATAATGATATACTTCTTTTAAAGGATATTGATGTCGATAATGAAACAGAAAGCAATGATATATTAACTTCTGAATTAAAAACAATCACGTCCAATTCAAATGATGGAAATGAGTATTTCATTGAAACATAGAAGAAATACTAGTGCTAGTCAAACATTATCAGTTTGTCCGATTTTAGATTTAATTGATTGACGTATTCAATGTCGTTTAAATCATTCGCAAAAAAAAACACAGACCTCTTGCTCAACTCGTGGGCGCTTGGGAAGTGGATCCAAAAATATTTCAACAGGCTCAGATCGAGAACAAATTGTCGATGATAGGTGTTTGCCAATTTCATTTTCTTTTTGATCAGAATCAACTTCATCTTAAACAAACACGATCAATCGAGAAAAGCTGGATTTTTTTGTCAGCGTTGCCTATTTTGTAATAAATTTAAGTACTTTTTTAGTCGGGAAAGAACATGTATACAGCATTCAAAACATATTTTTAAAAAATATACAAATACCATGCATTGGGCTTAAGATTTGTCCTATATTTGAACAGAACTTGAAATCAGAAAATATTCTTAATGATCCGGGAGCTGAATACCGACCTCGATATGTTTGTTCCGAATGTTTTAATGCACATGGAGGACATTTTTATGAAAGACAAGGCTGTGGAAATAAACCAAATTTCGAATGTATAGATATCACAAAAATGATACAAATGAGGCACTTCAAATTATGGGTCGTTGGATTTTGTATATGATGGAAACCACCGACGAAAATAAAAAAAAATCTTTTAGAACATTTAACTTCTATTTTGTTAACATTTTATAATACCAATACCAAGTTCGCCTTGGCAACGGCATTTTCTCCAAGTCCTCTTTTTATCAAAATAATTTTGAGACTGGCACATATTAATATGACAACAATCATGAATTCAAAGTATAACATTACCTCTGAAACTGTTATGGATCTTGGAAAAGCATTAGGAGTTGTGACATGGCAAGCACGAAATGATGTACAAAAAATAAAGCGAAACTTGAAAATCCAACATTATCAAGCTGGCTTTCCTTTATGTTTAACAAATTTTTTTAATGGGTTTATTAAAATATTGCAAAGAAAAAAACACGAAGTATTATTAAAAAAGAGAAAGCAAAGAGGTCTTCCATTAAAGGATTTTGATACAAATCGCGTAATAAAAATATCTGCCGAAAACCAAAATTACTTAACTCTTCATATAATATCCTTTGCGTAGCAAATGTGGTATCTCACACACAACAACATGAGAGACTTTTAGAAAAGATTCGTAACGTGAAGCAAAACCAGAGGATAAATTGTTACAAGGCAACAACATATGGAACATCTCGGTAATCGATAATATAGATCTTGTAGAACGAACATATGCATTTGGAAACATCTTTGATGCCACACGTAAAACTGTACACGCTACACTAAGAATGGTATTTCAGTTCACTATGCCTAAATCACTTCAAGATTAAATTATATAGATGATAAATGATAACTCTCAATGAAAATCAGAATATTTTTGGTACTTCAGCTTTTACAAATAATCTCTTAGCTGTATATGAGACAATCTTTAAAAATTTTCTAATTACACGCTTTAATAATTGGAATGCAGAAGATATTTTTAGTGAAATTACACAAAAAATAACGATGGGGTGTCAAATTCCTCTTCCAAATGTAGTTACACTTCGACCAGGCGAAAATCCAAATTGCGATACAAATATTCATAACGTTAAGCCCAATGCACGGTATTTGTATATTTTTTTTAAAAATATGTTTTGAATGCTGTGCACATGTTCTTCCCCGACTAAAAAAGTACTTAAATTTATTACAAAATAGGCAACGCCGACAAAAAATCCAGCTTTTCTCAATTGATCGTGCTTGTTTAACATGCGGAAGATGAAGTTTATTCTGATCAAAAAGAAAATGATGTTGGCAAACACCTATCATCGACAATTGGTTCTCGATCTGAGCCTGTTGAAATATTTTTGGATCCACTTCCCAAGTGCCGACGAGTTGAGCATGTGGTCTTTGTTTTTTTTGCGAATTATTTAAACAACATTGAATACACCCATCAATTAAATCTAAAATCGGACAAACTGATAATATTTGTTAATATATCATTGCTTTCTGTTTCAGTATCGACATCAATATCCTTTAAAAGAAGTATATCATTATCATCATCAGCTTCTGCCAAAGCTCGCGCTTTCTCAAAACTGGTCTTATCAAAAAGAAAGGGATTTATTTCTATGTTAAAATCCAACACATCGTTTGCAATACTTTCTGTTATGGTACTCTCTGATGCAAGACTTTCGGTGGCCAAGCTTATAGTTTCGATATCTTCCATATCATAGTCGTCGGGAATATAGTCGAAATTATTAAAAAATAACACGTCATTAAGATTGGTATTAGTTGTTACGTTAATTTCTGGTTCTTGCGAGTTCATAGTAAGTGTTTTCATACAGATAGTATGTATAATTATATTTTTGATTCTTGATAAGACCAATTATATATTATTGAAAATTTATAAGATTTTATTATTATTTTTTATTATAGTTAAAGCAATTTGAAATTGAAATATATTGATTTTATTTACCGAAATTTATAAGAGAATGTCATTTACTTATCGTCGTTGTCGTCGTTATC